TTGTTTCGGCCATGATCCTACCGTGATTTATATCTTTTCCATACAGACTGAGCACGGGAACATGCACTAGTTACTCTTGTCGTAAACAAAAGGACTTCGGAACTCGCTGAGTCACACTGCGGAATATCTCGGATCTAAGTAGGACTGACTGGGCATTCCACGAGCAATTTCTTAGGTTCTAAGCGCACTACTATTGAGGACCTAAAGTGCTGCTCACCCAAAATCAAGTTGTTTGATGTCGCGGTAAAATTTCGCTCCTGACGAGCCCCAAAAAGCGCGAAACCGGTCGTGGGCTGTCGAAGAGTGTTCAGCAAACCTGTGAGTAGTTTCCTTTATGAAAATATACTGCGATATCTCGAATATCGTGCCAACTGAATCATGAGGCGGCCTGCGTGCAGCACATTCAGTTGTAGGATATCACAGACGAGAGATTCAGTTGAGTCTCTCATGAAAACCAAATTGATTTGCAAATTAGTATATTCCTCGAAAACATAGTGAACTTATTGATTGGGGCTCTTCGCGGTAAAATCCCGCTCCAAGCAGATGATGGGCTTGTTTGCGCCAAGCAATGGTTGAATAGAGTGGCTGAAATGCGTGAACGTCATCATCAGATATTAACTTTGACCAGTAATATATCGTGGTTCCGACTGATGGATTCGTTTCCCGCTAAGTATCGGGATTAAGGGATTCAGTCACACACCGCATAGGATAGGTTCAAATCTTGTCATCTGAGCCCAGTGGTTGCAGGCATGTGTCTAGAAAGTGGCTGCTCCATTCGTGTGATATGGAATGTCCATACACGCAGAGTTCGAACCCGACACAGACAGTGAAAACGAATACAACGAACATGTCTGTGCATTCCCTGTTGTAACATCTACCCTAGGTGTGACCGGTAGAATAACGCCAAGATCACTGATTCACAAATAGAACGTCTGGAATTTCTGCGAACCGAACTGTCAAGGCACATTGTATCCGATTTCGCCACCTATTTTAGCGTCTGGAACTGCTTCTACGTTTGGGTTAAGCTGTGTAAGCTGTGCGGATATTTTAACTGGGAGCATGTGATATTTTTGGGCTGAGTGACGGCAAGTCCCTTGAACAGGACAACGAATTTGGGACGTTAAATCTTCATGAAAAAGTACCTGAACACCACACGCCTCTTTAGGTAAGCAACCCTTAACATATATAAAGCACGGTTTAGCGTTATACATTGGCTACTCAACAGTTAATCTGATTGATTCCAGTTCACCTTGAATAATCATTCTCTCATACGGGCATTCGCGTAACTCTGTGGATGAAATCAGTCCTCACATGTATGACGTGAAATCATTCACTTATCAACCATATCGATTCTCCAAGCAGACATTTACGCCTATGACATTGTTACACAACTCCCGTTTATAAAACAAACAAAAAAACGCTGTAAACTATTTTCCACTTGACTGTGCTCGAATTATCAATGTGAGAACACTCGGCAGTCAGTCAAATGGCTTCAACCGTCATTTTAATGCCAGATATCTTCGTCAGTGAACCAGTCGAAATGGCCGTCATGAACTTTCGAATGTGCGACTGAGGAAATCCGTCCTGAGTGAAAAGTTGAGGAGTCAATGGTGTGTGGGATTAAACACTACGACCGCCTCACTATGGGCAAATCTGTTCAAGGAGCGAACGACCCTGCTTGGTAAGGATGGTGGAAGAGAAAAGCCCCTTCAGATGCGTTTTCGGCGTGTTTCTGTTGGACCGCTCGTGGAAATGGGAGAACGACTGCGTCTGATTAGGCTATCACTTGATTGTGCTAACATTCTGGCCTCAAAGAAGAAATCAGTCCTCCGAATGGTGAGTTTTGGCTCAGGATGTATGCAGGATGAATGAGATTGAAAGCAAGTGCAAATAGTCGTGATGATAAAACCGGAATTGCATCACAAACTAGTTGAACTCACTGGCTGTCTATCAGTTGGCAGTTAATCTGTCGCCAAGTTCGGTGAACAAATCAACTGCCTGATCAACAGTAGACTGATCCCCCCGTGACACCAATGTTAAGTGAGCTGCCAATGGAGTCCGATTTTCTACGGTCTCTCTAGCAGTGCCAAGTGCGTTGTAAGGAATCCTCTAACCAAAATCATTATTTATTCTGTGCATGTTTCAATGAAATGTTAAATAGAAACGTACCGCAATCTGTATAGCTTATCGGATCTGCAAAGTTCAATATGTAGGAAAAAACACTGAATATCAATGTGGTGAACTGATTCATGAGGTCCAGACCCAAGAGCAAACTCGACAACTGATCCCACGTAAGCCTTTTATATAGTATTCACCGTGACCCTTGTAGGTTTTTGAATTTTTTAGAGGTTAACTCAATGCCCACGGCTCAACACGCCTTGTATGATCAGACACAAGCTACGGTTTGTGAACAAATGACACAGGTTCACATGCTTTGGTCTACCGAACATTCATTTATCGATCTGTATACCACTGAAGAATTGCAATTCAAGGTTTCCAGACAGCCTCATGCGATGTGAGAGCCAATGTATTCCAAGGTTATGTGGTTGTGTAGAGAAACATTCTAACATTTGCCCCTATCCCGAGATGGACGGGTGTCTTACATTTACTTCGCCGAGGACGCAAAATACAGACAACGCTTTCCGGGGTTTTCCAGGAACTTTGTTCAGGTTTATTTTAGCCCATACTATGGTTTTCTTTGCCCAGATGAGCTCGATCTTGTAGAAAAGATACTTAGAGACTTAACACGCCGTCATCTCAGGAACGGGTTAAATACTACCCCCCCCCCAAAACCTGTTGCAAACCAGCCAAGCATTTCCGAAGTTCCGAGGCCAGTGTGATGTCGAGGGAAGGATTCGCAGTGGAAAAATACATTGTTCCGTAATTATCAGTGTTCAATAGCTCGAGGCAGCCTTCGTGCAGCCTGGAGCACTGGTTGAATGAGACATGAAAATGGATAGAATACACATATGTATCTGATGACTGGTGGCCAAGCAGGGCCATGGGAATAACGGTTTTTAGTGTTCAACTGAAAGCTTTATGGAGGGTTGTTTGTAGACACCTGACCCGAGTCTTCTATCGCACACATTCGGCAGTGTCATTCGTGATACGTAAGCAGTCACTTTAACAATGATGTGAACTTTGCAAGCCTTTGGATAAATAGCTTAACTATGTTGGTATTCGATCAGATATATAAGGGGCCCCTTACCATCAGAATCCGGGCAGTCGTCTAAACCGATGGCACGCCGATTCTGTGCAAACTAAGTCTTGAAGATACTGGACTGGCATCAGAATCCAGTCGTCTAAACCGATGGCACGCCGATTCTGTGCAAACTAAGTCTTGAAGATACTGGACTGGTTCATTTCAAAAGTTGTTGGACGTTTCCAAGTTTAATAGACCCTCACTGACACTGACCCATCGAAGATGTCCTCAATTCAATTAATGCACTGAACCGAAGACAGGCTGAGGAAATGCTGAAGCTCGACCACTCAAGCAGCCTGTTTTCAATAAGGACAAAACAGCCGCACACCATCATTTGGCTTTCAAGCATAAAGTTGTTTGATTTTCAAGAGAAAATTCCATTTGTTGCTGTCGTAGGCTTGATACCACCGCTGGCAATATCTATGAAGACGGAGATGTGTTGCTCTTTTTGTTTCCCGCATACACTGTTGTAACAGTTTTGATCGCATGCGATTTGGTAGATGAGCATATTCCAGTCTCAATTCTGCTACACTGAATAACGAGTTAATGCGAGACGCAAGTGCGTGGTACGTAAACAAGGTTCAATCAAAACGCGTTCGACGTACTGATGAGCAAAATGAAGCCTGTGTTCGCGTTATATGGATGAATACGTTAATGCGGTGGCAAACAACATAACACAACTGAGGCCGTCGGTTCAGGCGAATCGACTCATTAGTTGTGTCCTCCAGAAGACAGAACTTTGAACCCTTGCGTCATGACATTTCAGGGTCATTTCGGCCAAGTGTGAATGATTCTCCATTCCCCATCTTTACCATACAAAAACGTGAAAACGACCAGGCCATTACTACTAGGTTGATTTTAGTCTTGCCCTAGGTGAACTTACGTGGTTGGAGAGCTGCTGTTTGGGGTTATGCAGGTACACATATAGGTAAACATATCCACTGTGTATATAAATCCAGTCTTATGTGTGATCACCCATTCTAGTAACAGGCATTTTTAGGGCACAGGGTTTATGTAGCGCCCCTATACTGACCACAGTCCATATGGTACGGATGGACCGTGCATATAGCTGATCTTAGAAACGCTAGATCAAGCCATCCAGTACGGCACTTCGTCCGACTTTCTGCAACATCAGTATAGGGTAGAATTCAAATTCCCAGTGCGTTCCGCTGGTTAGTCTTCTGATATCAAAAAAATTACGCCAAAACCATTCGACTTCCCCACTGGTAAAAAATCCCATTTCCAGTAACCTTTTGCTCTCGGGGATCCCAACAACTCCGTAATTTTGCATATCTAAATAAATCATGGGTCCTCTAACATGCTGTCAGACACGATTAACAGAAGCGGTTACCGAAGTTGGATGCTTCGCTAAAGAGTTTGTGCCAGCACCCGAATTTTTTCTGCAATCCACAGCAATAAGTTCCAATCTCCTGAACAGAACTTTGGGTGTAAAGTCGGAGTGCGGATGTGTGCAAATTGTTGGGCCATAACAGTTGTTTCTTGTGTGAAGAAATATGAAAATATTTCAAGGGAGATTTGACCCCGAAATCAAAGTGGGTCTAGTCGTAGCGACCGAGAAGAAGTGTTCGGCATTTCATGCCTAATGGGATCACCTTCTTTCAGCTTCTCACGAACATTCCAAAATGTCTGAAGCCAAGAAATACCTGCTGAGAGTCTGAATGATTAACTTTTCGATTGCACGCGACCGATCAACAATGCGAGTAATTTGCATTTGGTAAGCACTTTTCGGGAGACGTTTTCATTGAAAAACTTTCGAATACCTTACATGACCAATCAGAGAAATCTGAGTGAAAATTCCAGCCGATAAGTCATCACTCGAGGAGCCAGTCAATATATGACCATTCGTGACTGGAAGATGAGTGATGCTGTATCCCATCTACTTGAAAGCTAATCACTCTGCTGATCCACCGCACGTGGCCGAACGGCTAAACATTCAAACTATAGCTCGGAAGGTCTCCAGTTCCAAAATCGCTGGAGCTTCGAGTCATACCTTTGCGGTGTATCTCTTTTGGAGCATATAATGGCTCCGTTTACAGGACAATATCCACATTGCGCAAGTCCTGTTTGATTTAGGTGACTGAATATACCAGTGGTAGTCATCAGAACGAAGCAGGTATCGAACAAAGCTTGTTTTCTGTGATTGTTCCTCTTGGTTAATACGTCACAAATATATATGGTACCAGAAATTAAGTGGAAAAAATTAAGGTCGGGGGAACACACATTAGG